CTCCCATTTTTACCCCATATACAGATTGCAGAATCACATCAGTTACACATCCATTGATTTACATATTGCCATACTAGTGAGTGTTGTGTTCTGCTGCCTTTCCTATCCTCTACTATCCCCCCTCCCCTCCCCTCCCCTCCCCTCTTCTCTCTCTACCCCCTCTACTGTCATTCATTTCTCCCCCTTGTATTATTTTTCCCTTTCCCCTCACTTCCTCTTGTATGTACTTTTGTATAACCCTGAGGGTCTCCTTCCATTTCCATGCAATTTCCCTTCTCTCTCCCTTTCCCTCCCACCTCTCATCCCTGTTTAATGTTAATCTTCTTCTCCTGCTCTTCGTCCCTACTCTGTTCTTAGTTACTCTCCTTATATCAAAGAAGACATTTGGCATTTGTTTTTTAGGGATTGGCTAGCGTCACTTAGCATAATCTGCTCTAATGCCATCCATTTCCCTGCAAATTCTATGATTTTGTCATTTTTTAATGCAGAGTAATACTCCATTGTGTATAAATGCCACATTTTTTTTTTTATCCATTCGTCTATTGAAGGGCATCTAGGTTGGTTCCACAGTCTTGCTATTGTGAATTGTGCTGCTATGAACATCGATGTAGCAGTGTCCCTGTAGCATGCTCTTTTTAGGTCTTTAGGGAATAGACCAAGAAGGGGAATAGCTGTGAATACGGTTCCTTCTCTTTCCACTGTACTTGAAAATACTGGGGTAAGAATAGGAGGGAAGGGCTGGGATTGTAGCTCAGTGGTTGAGCGCTTACTTCAAATGCGTGAGGCACTGGGTTTGATCCTCAGCACCACATAAATAAATAAATAAATAAATAAATAAATAAATAAATAAAATGAAGATATTGTGTATATCTACAACTAAAAAACTATTTACAAAAAAGAATAGGAGGGAAGCAGCATTAAAACTTGCCTGGGTTTCACCCATTTCATGTGAGTCTGTGTAAAGTCTCATGTATTTAGAAGAAATTTTATCCATTTCTAATTTCACTACTGTAGATAGAAAGATTTTTAATCAGATTAATATCTACTTCTTCAGCCAGAATTCCTAATGCAATACTAGGCAGAACCTCTAACATCTTTTAATCAATGCATTATTACATATTTTAAAGAAATGAATACTCCTTCAAGCAATCTTAATTCCAAGGCATTCGACAAATATACTTCAATAATGATAAAAATCAATAATTTTGATAATTTTTATTTTTAGAAGTTGAACAATGATTTATTACAGAATTTCTGATTAAGCAATTACCATTCTCAAAAGATTTTTTTGATATTTTTAGAGTATAGATTGAATACAAATTGAAATTGACACACTTATTGAAACAAATTGAAGAGTACTTAAAATATCCCATTGAATGTGTGTAGCATTATTCCTCATTTTATAGTGTCTCAACTAAATGAATTTTGGCAGAAATTTTGGCAGGGATTAATTTGTTTCAAAATTAGTATCATGAAAAACATTAAACTTATGCATTCTATTATGTGTGTGTATCTGTGTGTGTATATGTGTGTATGTGTGTGTGTATGTGTATATATGTGTGTGTATGTGTGTATGTGTGTGTATATGTGTGTGTATGTGTGTATATGTGTGTGTATGTGTGTGTGTATGTGTGTGTATGTGTGTGTGTGTTCTTGTGTGATTCTGCTTTGCTTCTTTTAACATCTTAATGATTATTCCTTTGTTTTGTTCTTCTGAGGATCTTACCTTATTTCAACTGACTCAACTACTCAGATTTTATCAGCCCTATTCATCCAAAATTTTCTAGATTTTCCATATTTCTAATTATACCTTTTATTTTGAACAAGGGCTTTAATGAAAAAATTAATCTCGCTAAAATAAAACCACACTGTATCACTAGTGCTGCTCACAACCTGCCAGAACTTTCATGCTTCAAACCACAGGGCTGGGAAAATTGGCTTACAGAAGTCCCCTTCCATATCTCTGTGATGGGCTGGGTTTGTAGTACTGCTGCTACAATAGTAAAGCACAGATATAATTTCTTCTATCTGTTACAAAATATAGTGACTATGAAATTTCACTTTCCCTTCACTTTCTTCTTTCAGCTGGCAAAGGATATGGAAATTCCAGACCAGTTTACATCAAAATTGGAAATATCCATCACCTATGAACTGCTTCAAATATTTTCGGTCCTTTCTGTTTGGCTAACTAACATTTGAATCCCTCCTCTTCTTGATGTGTGCCCAGTTTCCTTTCTTCCATGATACCTTATTTATTAAAGCTCAGTTACACATTACAATCTCTCTTATGTGGATACTTTGGGGTGACTTTGTAGATGCCATTCATTATTGTGTATATATACTAGAATAACTACCACAGAATACAAATGGGAGTTGAATGCATAAGATAGATTTAATGTATTACTGCCTTAAACTATGATTTTAAGATAAAACTTATTAAGCTTAACACTGAGTAAATATAATGAAGAAACAAAATGAATTCCTTAAAATACTTTTTTCTACATACTACCTAAATGAGAAAATCTTGAAATTCAAACATAGCAAGCTCCATTTGCTCAGCAATGAGGTACTTGCACAAAGTTCCCCCATGGCCTTTTGGTGTACAAATTTAAAATAAAGAAGACTACTTCTAAGGAAATGATTTGACATAAAAGTTTGTTTTCTTTTTAAAACTACTTCATTTAAAAAAGTCATTTGAGCTGTAAACACTCAAGGATAAGCCAGTTTTAGGATCACATTATTGTATCACAGTAACAGAAATGTGAATCACATTTATTACTTTAATTCATGGATTTAGGTTCTCCTAAATTCTTAACATTGAGCTACTACACTCTTGATAGAAGTTGTTAGGAAAATCCAAATCTTCATTTCTGGCAGCAAAGTGCCAAGAAATGATGTGCTATGATGAAATCACACAGTCAGCTGCTTCTTATTTTGGTAAACCAGGTAGTTTGAAAATTATTATCCCACTAGCACTGTCTTCAGATTTTAGAACAGAGCTAGAGGAATTATTAATGAGGTATACTTTGTGGTAGTTCTGTTGCTTCTCTATTGCTCCAGAACTAACCATGTTATTGAGGATGGATATGCAGAAATTATGCTTTTCACCAGGTAGTAGTAACCATAGGTGACCAAACATCACCTATTTATGGCGTCTATATGTCAGTGATGGGCTAGCATGACTTTCACTACTCTAATTTTGCAGAATTAGGTATATGAAGAAGGTTATATTTTTTTCAAAATCTTTTCATTTCTTTACTTACAACATTAAGTCATTACATATGGAATTATCATTGAAATAATTTCAAATGAATTTCTGATTTTATAGTAATATAATTTGAAAATTTAAGTATTAGCAGTTGAAAATGTTGTTGTTTTGTTTTTATTTTGCCTACTAAATGAAGGGAAATTTTTATTCTGAGATTTGGTAAATATTTGGTGCTGTCTGATGGTCCTACCGTTGTGTAGTTAATAATTTTGAAAAAGTCAGCCAATCTTGGGGATAAAATTTGACGCCTAAAGTATTTAAAAAAAAAAAAAAAACAAAACAAAACTCTTTCTACAGTACATGTGTATTGGAGTTCAGTCCTGCATTCAGGCTTACAAGTGTATTATTTGGTGGTGTGTAAAAACAGCTATTGCACATCTTTGGGAATTATGAGGAAAGCATCTGAGGCTTTATTTCATTCTTACTGTAGGGAGAAAACCAGTTTAACGTGAGTGAAAAGAACATAACCGGTCTCTAACTGCAGGCTTAATTGTGAGAAAATGGGTGAGTTTCCTTTCTTTATTGCTATAATTTTCTCTGGGCATGCAGGTTGTTCAACCTTAGTCTGTGTTATAAAATATTCACTACAATTTTTATTTCACAATCTGACTTTTTTTTATATGATAAGAAAAATTACATGTAGTTTGTTTTATCTTTCTGAGAACTTGTTCAGGGCCAATGCTGCTTGTAATCTAACTTATGACAGGTTTCTTTACTCCTTGTTGTAAATATGAATACAGATACTGTCCAAAGTGTCCAAAGAGTTTGTTTGAATTCACAGTAACAAAAGTTACAAAGTTTGTGCAAAAGATATTGTACACCACTGGAGTACATAGAGCTTGCTATAGTTAATTTTATATGTAAAGCTACATTCTCATTAAAACTATTCTGAGCTACATTAAAAGTTTCTGATTTAATTTTTCTCTAACAATAAAACTGAATGCTCATTTTAATCTCTAAAATCTGAAGATGCAATTGCATATATGTGATGTTTATAAATGTTATAATAAATCACTGGAACCTTTTAAACACCATAATTGCTTTGGAGCTCTTCAAGTTTTCCGAGGGTCATAAAGTAAACACGGCTGTGGCGGTTGTGCAGGGTAGAGGTAAAGAACAGCTTTAAAAGAAAGAGAAAAACACTATCAGTAGATATTTAATACATTTAACCAGATATTTCATAAACAAAAGTGTGAAGTACTAGTATATAGCTATAATTTCAATTTATCTGCATCTGGTAATTAAAATACTAAGCCAAGGGGCTGGGGTTTTAGCTCAGCGGTAGAGTGCTCAGCTAGCATATGTGAGGCATTGGGTTTAATCCTCAGCACCACATTAAAAATGTGTATTTAAAAATACATAAACAAAATAAAGGTATTGTGTCCATCTACAACTAAAAAAAATTTAAAAAAATACTAAGTCAAACTGTTGTTTGAAATAGGTTTTCCTCCAACCAAGAATAAAAATTTAAATTAGTTTGGAGTTTAATTTACAAACTTAAAAATAACCTTCCCCATATTCCATAAAATTGCAATTTATAGTTTAAATAAAATATTTTTGTAGGTGAGATTCATATGCTAATATTCTTGAGTTTTGATTTTCTTACTTTAAAAATCTATTTTTATTCAAGTTGGCATTTCTTTCAATAAAATAAAAATTGTTCTGATGTTATTTATCATTGCTTCTGGTGTTTAAGAAGCCACTGAAAATTTCTGCTTCCTGCAATTTTCCATTTCATAGAAATATAGTGAGACCAATAGATTGATATAATGAGTTAAACCAAATGGCTTAGAGAGGGGCATGTTGGGTAAACATGGACTGTTCCTCAGAACAGAACATGGACATAAATATCAAACACACATCCTCTTGTTAGGACTAAGATTTTTGACATTCATATTGGATAAATACTTAGGAGAATCTGAGACATAATAATAATGATGAAGATCAGGTATACTAGCTACTTGACTTAACATATTTTATGTGCCAGACATTCTTGTGAGATGCTTACGAAGTACACATTTTGTGAATTTTCACATTTGTTCCCAAAACAATTATTAATATTCCTATTTTGGAGATGAAGGAAACTAAGGCTCAGAAAGATCAAACTCCTCAGGTTCTCATACCTAGTTAACTGGCAGAACCAGGACTGCATTGTAGGTCTATATGGCCTCTAACACTGCTTCTTGCCATTACATCATTTTACATTGAAAATCAACATCCTTCCTTAATTTGCTCTGCTTTACTCTAGTTATTCTGATATTAACTTGAAACCTCTACAATGTCTTTTAAATAGGAAAGTTTCTTATTCTTATTAGGATTATTTCTTCACACTATTATTTCCCATAATATGTAGAAATGGTAATGGTTTCATGCAATGTACTTTTCCACCTAGCTATTTGAAATAATTGTTGAAATTAATCAAATTACAGAAGTAATTGCCAAATTTTGATTTTATTTTCCTTGTCTGCAAAACAGACTTCATAATAGATACTTGTGAATATAAATTGATAACTTTTACATTACCAAGCATAAAAAAGATATCATGTAATTAGGTGCATTGAAAACATAAAAACCTTTTCCTTCTTCTATTATTGGATTATATTGAAAGTTGTAAAAGACTTATTTACCCCTGCCCCACTTGAAAAACAAAACAAAACAAAAATGCGGGGCTGCGGATGTGGATCAAGTGGTAGCACGCTCGCCTGGCATGGTGCCGCCTGGGTTCCATCCTCAGCACCACAAACAAACAAAGATGTTGTGTCTGCTGAAAACTAAAAAAAATAAATATTAAAATTCTCTCTCTCTCTCTCTCTCTCTCTCTCTTTAAAAAAATGCTGGCAAAGATGTGGAGAAAAAAGAACTCTCATATACTATTGGTGAGGAAGTAAGTTAGTACATCCTTTGGAGAACAGTGTAGAGGTTTCTCAAAAAACAAATAGATCTATCATACAACCTAGCTATTCCACTTTTGGATATAAACCCAAAAGAAATGAAATCATTACAATAAAGAGATACTTTCATGCCCATATTTATTGTAGAACTATTCACAATAGCTTGGGAATCAGCCTCAGTATCCATCCACTGATGAATGGATAAAGATTATGTGGTACATAAACACAATGGAAAATTATTCAGCCATAAAAAATGAAATTCTATCATTTGCAGCAAAAATGAATGGAACTGGAAAAAAATTATGTTAAGTGAAATAATCCAGGCACAAAAAGGCAGGCACTACATGTTTTTTTCTCACATGTGGAAGCTAAGAAAAGTTGTCCTGAATGTAGAATAATGATTAATAGAGGTTGGGAAGGGTGTGGGGAGTGGTAGATAAATGGAGGATGGACTAAATTGGTTCACAGTGTATGCATGTGTTGAAATAGTACACTAAACCACATCAATATGTACAATTAATACACATTCACCAAAAACAAAATACAAAAACATTTTGAAAAGACAGATTTGCTCAAACATTTTTTGTTTAAAAATATTATTTTAATATAAATATGTAAATGACTATGGATCAAAGATAATCAATTCTTCCCAAACCAAAAATGGATAAATTTTGTGTAAGACAGAACTAGAAATTCTTACTTTTTTTGAAAATAGGTCATTTTGAAACAGAACTTTATTATCTACCAAATTTATGTTTCTACTGGAAAAGAGAAAAATTGTTTCTTTTATCAATAATATGCCAATTAAAAATACATAACAGAATGTATACAACACAAATTTCTTTAGTTAATTTCAATGATTGCTTTAATTTTGCTCTAACTGAAGAGTATTAACATACCTTGTCACCTCGGGTACACAGAAATCTCAGTTTCTTGATTGATCTGCGTTTCAGCTCATTTTCCAGAGCCCTTGATTGCAAAGAACGTGCTTCAATGGCCTTTTGGCCCCATCCTGTGGTTCGCTGGGAACACTCAAAAGCTAAAATACAAATGATGAATATCAGAAAATCACAAAATCTTTTTGTCAGTGATAGAAAATTAAAATCACAATCAATGTTTGATTATTTTGCTTCATTCCTACAGTTCAGGTTAACCCATCCCTTTTCCCCCTTCTTCTATGATTTGGCCATTTTGCTGTTCAACAGTGTTTTCAAGCTAGCTATTTTAAGGCACCATCGTGACCAACACTGAATTACTAGATCTCTATTAATTCTTGTATTCATTTTCTCTAAGACCACAGAAAAAGTCAAAGATTAATTCTACCTTCTTTGTAGAAATCTAAGTCTATTCACTGGTATTCTTTAATAGTCTAAGTGGCTAATAAGAATTTCTAATAAGGGTTCATATTTGTGCTTGCGTGACACACATGGAAACTTAATTCCTAAAAATTAAAAGTGTTAAAATGATTTGTTCAAATAATTACTTTGGCAACCTTAATATAATTGAATAAGTTACCATGTTATAAGCATAACCAATGCTAATTTGACACTTTTAAGGCTTTTTCCTGCTCGAGAAATTTTTATTAAGATCTTAACTATTTTAGCCCTGTTTATAATACTTTGTGACAATATAGATTATGACAAAAATTGCCTTAAAGCAGAAAACTTAATTATGTAGATAACCACACAGTCATCTGGTGTTGTATGGTATTTTGTGGTACTGGGAGCAGCAAAATCATTAAATTTTTAAATTTCAAGATGCCATTCTTTATATATTTTGTAGGGAAAATTCCATAGCTAAATTAAATCAAGACATTTAAAATAATATAAAGATTTGTAACTCAAGTGAAAATAGTCTAGAAAACACAAAATAAAACAATTTCATTCTTATATTAGCATGATTTACATCAGAATTCATTAATTTGACTTTCCATTTTTTTCTGTTTTGAAGGGAATAAATTCTGCTTGATATGAGTATAGGTCTTTTAATTTTTCTCTTATCTTTCAAAGTTTCTAAGATGACTTTGTTTAAACCCAAATTTACCTGACCTATATATGAATACATTAAATATACATAAAAGAAGATGTAAATCTAATTCACCATGTAGTGCTATTTACCATACAACATTTTAAAAAAATATTTATTTAGTTGTAGATAAACATACCGTATCTTTATTTATTTTTATGTGGTGCTGAGGATCGAACCCAGTGCCTCACACATTCGAGGCAAGCACTTTACCACTGAGCTACAGTCCCAGCCCCTCCATATAATATTTTTTAAAGAATTGTGATTTTGTAGATAAAATTTCCTATATGACCACAAAATATATTATTGTCTTTGCTCATATTAAGATTGAAGAACAAAAAATATCACCTTCATTATTTTTTAAAAAAAAAATCTTGTTCCTTTCAAACTCTAAAAGTATCTAAGATTGGGACAAGATGGTCGACATGGTGTGCTACTTCACACCCTAAATTAATATACTTAGAAAGCTATATCAATTTAACTCCAAAAGATTTCAAAGTTGTGAGGGTCTGGCGGTACAGGCCTGTAATCCCAGCTTCTCAGGAGGATGACAATGTGAGGGTAGCCTGGGCAACTTAGTGAAACTCTGTCTCAAAAAATAAAAATAAAAAATAAAGGGCTGGGGTTGTAGGTCTATGGTGAAACCCTTCCTAGCAAGCATTGGGCCCTCTGTTGAATCCTCAGTTATCAGTGGGGGAAAAAATATTTCTTATGTGGCCTTTGATGCTATTTTGTAGATTGATCCTGGTACCTCCACTATTCAACAAAGTTGTATTATCAAAAATATTTTGCAGTTTATATATTCAAATTTTTAAATGTTCTTATATCAATTTAAAGGCGGTTTTTATTTTAACATAGAACTACAGCTTTTTGATAGCTTTCATGATTTTTTTTTTTTTTTTTTTGGCACTGAGGATTGAAACCCGGGATGCTTTACTACTGAACTATATCCCTAGTCCTTTTCAGTTTTCATTTTGAGACAAGGTCTTGCTAAATTGCTTAGGGACTAGCACTTGAGAGACCCTCCTGCCTCAGCTGCCCAAGTCTCTGGGTTACAGGTGTACGCCCCAGCACCAGGCTCACTCATTCACATGAGCTTATTTCCCTCCTTTCTTTCCTTTTCCTCCTTATTTCTATTTCAGCTTTATTATTTCTTATCAAAATTATTAATGCATATTGTTTTAGAAACTATAAAACTTCATATGAAAATAGATAATTTAAATGATTTCTACTGTCATGTATAACTAATTAGGAAAAAATAGAAAAAATAAATCTTCAAAACTGTAAAAAAAAAAAAAGAGGGTGGGAGGGAAATGGAGGGGGCAAGGGATTAGCAAGGATGATGGAATGTGATGGACTTCATTATCCAAAGTACATGTATGAAGACAAAATTTGGGTGTCAACATACATTATATACAGAGATATGAAAAATGGTGGTATATATGTGTAATAAGAATTGTAATGCAAAAAAACAAAGCATATGTATGAAGACATGAATTGCGTGAACATACTTTATATACAAAGATGAAAGATTGTGCTCTATATGTGTAATAAGAATTGTAATGCATTCTGCTGTCATGTTTTTTAAAAATAAAATCAATAAAAAATGTAAAAAAAAAAAGAACTCATGAAGAAAATTTTGAACTTTTATAAAAAAGACTTTTTTTTTTTTTTTAAATCAAGGATGGAAACCAGGGGCACTTTACCACTGAGCTACATTACATTCCCAGCCCTTTTAATACTTTATTTAAAAATTTGAAACAGGGTCTCCCTAGGTTATTTAGGGCCTTGCTAAGTTGCTGAGGCTGGCCTCAAACTTGAGACCCTCCTGCCTCAGCATCCCAAGTTGCTGGGGCTACAGGCATGTGCCACCGTGTTCTGCAAAAATGACTTTCACATGTAGTGTGAGCAAAGAATCCCTAAAATAAAATTATCAAACATTCATTATCTTCTGCCCCCTTTAATATTGCAATTCAAACTAATTTTGTTTATAAAATTGACATTAAAGTTATAATTAAATTGCTATTATATTTTGATTCAGAAAGTAGCTGTCCTGCAGGAACTTTGTAAGTCTTATTTCAGACTGGAATTAAAACCACTCCAGATTATAGAGAAGAAACAAGTGACCTGAGCAATGGGAACAAGTAATATTTTTTTTTTACCCATGTAACTACTTCATTAAAAAGGGCATTTTGGGGGCTGAGGTTGTGGCTCAGTAGTAGAGCACTCACCTAGCACATGTGAGGTGCTGGGTTCGATCCTCAGCACCATATAAAAATAAAAACAAATAAAAAAATAAAGGTATTGTGTCCAACTACAATAAATAAATAAATAAATAAATGGCATTTTTGTCAACAATCACATACAGAAAAAAACTTTCTAAACTTAATGCACAGGCTACTTGCTGATTCCAAGTATACAGCTAATTTCTATCTTAATACTGAAACACATAAGTCTGCCACTTAAACAAGCTACTAAGCTAGTTTGCTTTCTGAAATAGAACTTACTCAGTGATTTGAAAGTGGGAACACTTAGTAAAACTTTCTGTAATTGTTATGTTTCTGTATATTTGTTTGAAAATGTAGATCAATGATCTTATTGATGTCATTGTCAAAGGCATTTACCACATGAAAATGTAAAATTTATATACAGGAAATCTGGATCTGGGCAAGTCTTAAAAAGCAAAGTAATTGTTTTTAGACAGAAAAATAGAATAATTGATTTCCTTAATATCAGTGTTGTGATATAATATATTCTCAATATATCCTTAATACTTAAACCAAAATATAAAGTGTCTATAGCACTATGATTTACTTTACATGTAGATGTCTTTCAAATTCTAGTACCTTAAGATGACTTTTTGGTTTAGGTGAGAAATTTTCCTGCCTAAGTATAAGAACTATACAAGATGACTTTTCAAGATCTCTTTTATTGCTGTGATTGTCTAGTGGCATAAATATAGGCATATCTTGAGTTCCCAAATTTAAACTGAATTACCTTATTCCAATTTGTAATATATTGATCACAAAAGTATTACTATAAAGGTTAAAGCATGATTTTTTTTTCACTTTCTTTTGCCTGAGATCTGTCAATTATTCTGTAAGCATTTATCTCTGTCAATTAAAATGGTTTGATATCCTCTGTGAATTCTTACCTTGCTGAGGAAAATGGAGCATGTTTTCAGGACAATTCTGAACTATGTACGCAAATCATAAAAGATTCTGCAGATGCAATGCAAAGTGCCATCATTCCATAGGAAAACAATGTCCATTATAAACAGTTCTTTCAAACTGATCCTTAAAGCCACTGCAGGATAATTTTCAGCCATTTTTTTTTTGAGATTTCAGAGGTTTAAGGCTTCTATCTGGATAAAGTACCTTTTTCTCTCTCAATCTCTCTCTCCTTTCTCTGTTCTTCTCTACACACACACACACACACACACACACACAGACACACACACCTTCTTCTTCCTTTATTTGGTTCATTAAACTCCTCTTTCCTTTGGGAATAGTTATTCTCCAATTAATCATTCTACCCTCTCTAATATTTTTACTTTGCATTCTGGTCTCTATCTGGAATCACTTGTATAGTCAGCATGCCTCAAAAATATGAATAAGAATCTCAAATTATTTGGATTTCTCAGTCTTGTAGTAAGTTGTTCACTGGTTAGGAAGAAAAAATGTCCTGGTTTAAAGAAGATTCAAAAGGTTGTTACCTCTATGTTGCCATCTGGGTGGTACCTAATAGGTATCAAGGTCAGACATATTTCTTTTTTCTAAATGATGTGATTCTTCACAGGCACATCACTCACTGAAGGTAACACTACTGACTATACAAAAGAGAAATATTTGGCTCTTCTTTGACTGGAAGCTTCCTAAGATAAAGGTAAGCCCCCCAAATCCTTGTGATGGAAAGAAGCATTTTCAATGTTTGTGTAAAGATTGCAAGCAAAGGGAGTTTAAGCAAAATTATAGATTATTGTGGAGGGAATTAGTTTCTATTTCAATTATACAACTGTTTCAAATGAACCACTCAGAAAACCCAAATTAGTCTCTTTTTGGTATTCTTCATGAATGTGCTAAGCATATCACAAAAAATTGCTTCATTTTACTAAGGGAATACATGTGCAGGATTCCAAATTAACACTCTGTACCTTGAGAATATAATAATTCAGGAAATCTTCACTTAGGACACATTTTTATCCTTGAAAAACTTATTTGTTATCATATGAAATAATAATCAATTGTATACATACCAACAGAGGACGGTATGTCTTTCCACACTTCAAGGATCTTCTTGAAGAGGTGTTCATTTGCTTCCACAGAGAGAGCTTCAGCGTTGAAGGTGAGCATCATGCCAATTCCCAAGGAATCAGGTAAAATGATGATATTCTGTGGTATAATGAGTTCCAAGGGCTGGAATTATGTTCCATAAAAATTTATATGTTCAACATTTTACCACTACTATTGTAATTGAAGCAGCTTGGCTGAGCAATAAAGATCAAAGAGATTCAAAGTGTAGGAAGGAAGGTAACAAAAGAGCTGCTTTCCTTATGCCATAATGTGATCACTATTTAATATTTTCCTTTTTATTTAGGAGAAAGAATGGTTTGAAAAGATAAGAGATACATTTCCTAATACAGAGAAATTGGTTTAAATTACACAAAGTATAATGTATAGTTATTGAAAAAAAATAGACAAGAGACTTGGATTTAAGTTTCATTTCAGAAATAATTTGATGAATAATTTGATAATGAATGTGTCCACCAAGTAATGAGTACACAATCCTTGGTTGTCAGTAAAATTTGTTAAAATAAAAATAGAAAATAAACCTAAAAATAGCTTGAGCTTAACACACTTATAAGGGACAACTTTATATTCATCATAGCTTGAAATATAATAGTCATAACCCTTTGCAAAAAAATGTAGAATTTCTTATCAAATTTTCATAATCTTAAAAATCAGTTGAATACAAGATTCAGAGATGTATTAGGTAGTATAAGAGGAAATACTAAGAAATATCTAAGTACTTCCAAATTTCATGATGCATAAAATGTGACAAAATTGGCTTAAACTACAGATATTCCCTGATAATAAACAATTGTGTTCTTTTCTCCAAATTAGAAGGTAAAAAAAAAAAAAAAAGATCAAAAGCTATACTTGCCAAACCCAGCGTACTCAGACCAAGGGCTTGAGGCCATGTCTCAGCAACAACAATCCTTAAAACTAAAATGGGGATCCAGAGGCGAAAAGCAATTTTAATACGTTCCCTGGGCACTTGCATGAGCAATTGAATCAGAAAAGAGATGAATGAAGAGAATAAAAGAAAATTGCAAGAAAGAAGTTTGTCTCAGTAAAATCTGTAAACAATAAAACTGGACTGCTGCAAATCCAGACAGACTCTGAGGTTATTATCTTCTTTCTGAAGTAACCAGATATTCTGTAGCACACGTGGCTCCCTTGTAACATTACATGTTTTATAATCTAGAACTCTTGAAAAGTTATTATTTTTAGTACATTCTGTTTCAGAAGACACCCCTTGTCTCCCTTAGAGTCAGCTTTCTTTTAATGGGTCAAGATACTAGGGCATTCTTCTAAAAATATTTTTGAATATATATAAGGTATCCTAATTAGGTCAGAACATGACTTTTAAAATGCATCATTTCTCACTGTAGCTTCCACAGTAATTAATGAATTTATTCAAAAATGAAATATTTTTTGTTTTTTAGTCAGGTGAAACACTGAGTTAAACTTCTTGAATGACTTTTCAAATAAATATAAACTTGGACCAATGCTGCAATGTTCAATATTGCCCTGTATTCTAAATAAATTCTCTTTGACACACATAAAAAGTAAGATGCAGAAATCTATAAAAATGTAATACAATATTCACAATATATAAAAGAATAATATAATATTCATATCAAAATTATTTTGACCTTATATCTAAGTGGTTTTATCTGAGGTTGGTTCAGTATTTTTCACATTATAAACATGGTAAGTTGCATATAATCATAGAAAATCACTGGTTATCAGCTAATTATTATTAATATAAGCAAAATCCTTTAAAAAGTATTCATTAATGTACTGACAATTGATCCATGTAATTTATTACAGAGGTATGAGATGATTCTGAAGGCTATTCAAAAATATCACATCTATACTAAGTTAATAGTGTGTACAGTTTTTCTCCAGGAATTTTTATACCATGCTAAGCTGTTATGATTTTAATTGTTAATAAATGGGAATTAAAAAAATAGTTGATGTAAAAAAAAGGTGATACAGGCTTTCCTTTTAAATGTAATTTTCAACAGGAAAATCAGCATTGCCACCATCAAATTTTAGACAAAGAATTGTGTTTTGTATGGTGTGCATGTAGGGGTATTATATTATATTTAAGTATTTTCTGTAAATTATGTGAGTATATTTTTAAAACAATTCATATTTTAGGTGCTGCACCATATTTTCACTACTTAAGAGTTTAGGTACATTTGCTTTTGTAATGCTGAACCCTTTGGTCAGAAATTAAAAGTGTAAGTGATATGATAAAACAACATTTTATGATAATTTACTATGTACCACTGTTAAAGTAATGCAATAAAAGAGGATATACATAACAATTCCATGATACTGTCATTGCATTTTTAAAAATCTATTAATATATTGTGGGGTACAGAAGGACTAAGGCAAGGACTTCAAACTCAAATACCTCTTAGGGCTAATTATTATAAATATGGAAAGATATATAGATAGAGATTGTAGAGCATATATCCTATCTAAATGCTCTACAATCTCTATCTAAAAAGGGGCAAGTATAAATCAGTTCAAGTTGACAGTGGCCAGTTAGTAACATGGGCCTGAGGTTTCCAGGTATTCCAGTTTATCAATAGAAGTACAGATTTTATTTGTAAACTTTACTTATTAAAAAATAAGCCAGGTGATAGACAAACAAAATATTTCTGCAGAATAAACTCAGCTATCTGGACTCAGAAGTCATCAGTGATGTTTGTTTAAGTGTGACCACTTTATGGAAATCTATACTTACATTTTAGGTCTCCATTCAAGTATAGATATTGTTACTCACATGTTTGAACCTTTCAGTTTTGATGGTTGTAAATATTCAGTGTTATACAATAATATCTAGGGATCTGAGAGTAGTATCTTACATTATTTGGCAGGGTCACATCAGACATAACTTCAGATTCTGCATCGATGATGTGATATCCATCTGCTGAGCTGAAGAAAATCTTTAGTGTTTTCTCAGAACCAATAGCCAGGTCAACTGTCACTGGCTTATGACCAAGAGTTGGAAATACCTGAAAATATAAAACCAAATATGGCCAAAAGGCATTCGAACTAAGGTAAAAATTTCCCCACTCTTTTCCAGGTTTGTAGGTTTATAAAACCCAGGTTAATTTTCAAAATTGCATATTGTATTTAAAGACCTATGTATTAGAACTTTTCTTAGGTCTGTTACAACAACAAAGACAAATATATTTAGGTTCTAAATATTGTTTCCCTTCAAATATCAAAATGCTAATGATTGTAAGAGCCTCATATGCCCCTGCACTGTTTGCTGTCTTTAAGTTTCTTGCCTTGAGCTTCAGCAAATGAAGGAGCTCATCTGGTCTCTTAAACCGGTTTGCTGGATCAGCTGCCTGTATTTTTGCCAGTATTCGTATATAGGCTTCATAGGACATGTAGTCTCCTTCGGAGTCTGCTGATTGATCAATGCATACTTGATAAGGAATGAAAAAGGCCATAAATGTTAACCTACTATAGACTGGGTGTAACCTAGGCTCTATGGTTTCTAATCCAAGGAAACAAAAGGCCAATCAGGATTCATTGCCATGATCAGGTCACCATGGAGGACTGAGCATCACAGGATTCACCATACTATAGTCATGAGTTGGAATTCAAGAACTGGAGTGAGGACTTGGACAGGAACTGTGTATGAGGCTATACAGATTGTTGGTACTTATCTCTTTTGTTTTCCATTTCATACCAGGTAGCTCTGACCAATCAGCAGACACCCAAGAACAAACCCATATCCAAACACTGACAGCAGGGCCAAAGCCCAATTTAGGAAGATCAGTCAGGGATGTGATTTGTCAGGACACACCCAGACTATCTATGTAGTAAACTATGCTCTTTTATTTAAAAAAAGAAAAGAAAAACAGTTATGTGATGTTTTGGACTACAAAACAGACCATGTAAACAGATCCTATTCTAAGATACAAAAGTAGTATGTGAATACCTTACTGAGGTCTATCAGGATGTGTGCATATCAGCACTTTGTAAAAATCCATCTATGGACCAACTAGTTCAATAGTGACTGGAACATTTGCTAAAAATATAGATTGACAGGCCCTACTCCAGACCTGAAATTTAGCCTGGGGTTGAGTCTGAGATCTAAATGTCTAACAAATTCTCCAGGCAATTCTGACGCATATCCAGGTTAAGAGGTATTTGACTTGATAGAACACTGTCATTCCATTAATCAGCCCTCATTATAATGGAGTATATACAAAATAATCTTATTTAAGTGAAATTCTGTAGCATTGTAATTAAATTATATACAGTACTCTGTTTATGTGATGCGATTTAAAAAAATCACCAGCATCTTGTTTGGAATATTAAATGATTCCCTTCCTTGGCTGATCCATAAAAGTCCAATTAAACCATAATAAAATGAAAAAATGAATAAGCCTAACCACTAATATGTCTTACAATAGTTTAGAGAGAAATGTACTTAGAGTTCCAGTTTGGAAGGAATGAAGACCCACCCATTTCCTACATAACCCCACCTATTGTAGGTATGGTAACTGGAGCAAAGGTTTTCTCTTCTCTCCTTCTTCTTCCAATGGTGTTCCTCCTTCGACCATCTTCACACAATTTCTCACCTTCCCTCTACTCCCCCACCCAACTAAAGAGAAAACAGGGATTTTTTCAGATTCAAGTCATTTGGTGTAGCATCTGAGGTCTATATTTGGGCATCTATAAGCAGAGATCTTCATGTTGACTACAGGAATTGGGAGTGAGAAGCTGGTGTGGAGGTCCTGTGAAGACAAGGGTAAGGGATTTCCCTCACATTCTCACTTGCTGTGGTGCCTGTGGATTATCTAAGAAAGGGTTAAATGATAATTATTGATATGATATATTCCAACTGTAAAATAATGGTATATATATATATTTTTTTCTTATATGCATTCCAAAATATTGTGCTTTTTAAAACAACTTCTTCTCAAAAGAACAATGTCGTGATCCAAAGGAAAAAGAGATCACTTACTTTAATAGCAGTGCTTTCATCAAAGGACTTTGGTGCCCATGCATAAAGATGAATTGATGATTTCAAAGCAATTGCAATGTATGTTGTTTCTTCATGTTGGACTACAATAATAAAATAAAATAAATAACAATGCCACAGAATCAACAAGAACATTCAAGTGGTTTTGTTATTGAAAATGTCATAACCACTTAGTGAGTGCACAAAGTGTATAATTTTAGAAAAATCTACTTGGTTACAATTTAATGTCCCCAAATGTAATTAGATTACTATCTATTTTTATGGAGTTTCTGCATTAGCTTTCAAGAGAATTCTAAATTGTCCACTGAAAGCTACAGAACACTGATGAAAGAAATTATGGACCTAAATAAATGGAAAAACTTTCCATGTTCATGGTAGACTTAATATTGTTAAGACAGCAACACTATCCAACAAAATCTCTATAGAATCAATGAAATTGCTAAAATCCCAATGCCCTTTTTTATTAGAAATGATTATTTTCACATGAAATTGTAAGTTGTTCCGAGTAACTAAAACAATCTTTAAAATCAAATTTGGAAGGCATACATTTTCTGATTTCAAACAATTTCATTCACAAAACCCTAAAAAATACTTGAGACTCAATCAAATCAAGTAGGTGAAAGCCCTCTATAATGAAAACTATGGAATACCAGAAAAAGAAATTGAAGATGACCTTGGAAGATAGAGACTACATATGTTCTTGAGTAGGCATAACTAGTATTGTCAAAATGGCCATGCTACCAAAAACAATCTGTAGATTCAATGCAATTCCATTATAAATGCCATAACATTTCTAACAGAACTAGAAAAAAGTCCTAAAATTCATATGGAAGAATAAAAGATCCAGAATAGTCAAAACTATCCTGAGCAATAAGAGTGATGCTGTAAGTTTCACACTACCTGATCTCAAATTATACTACAGAGCTATAGTAACAAAAGCAGAATGGTATTGGCATAAAACCAAACATGAAGACCAATGAAATAGAATAGAAGACACAGAGATAAATCCACATAAGTACATTCATCTGATCCTTGACAAAAGTGCCAAAAACACACATTGAAGAAAAGTTAGCCTTTTTAACAAATTGTGCTATGGAAACTTGATATCCCTATATAGAAGAATGAAACTAGATCAACTGATGAATGGATAACAAAAGGACAAAAGATGATATATCTGTACAAAGCAGTACTATACATGTGTAAAGAGGAATGAAGTGAATAATTAATAAGCACTTTAAATTGATACATTTCATAATATATAAATTATGCAACAGGACCATAAACATCATATGGATGTATATGCTTGCTCTCAACCCTTCTGATTCTCATGGAATATGTTTTATTGATAGATTCATACTTTATGTTAAACCCCTCTTCCTTGGTTATATTATGTTTGGGATATGTGATATTCCCCAAAACCTCATGTGTGAGACAATGCAAGAAAAGAGTGAATTGGTTAGATTATAAGAGTTGTGGATTAATCCTCTTGAATGGATTCACTGAGTGGTAAAATCTGGCAGGTAGGTTAGGCTGGAGGAGGTAGGTCACTGGGGGAATGCCTTTGTAGTGTATATTTTGTCCCAGATGAGCAGAACTCTCTCTTCTTCCTGCCTATATTGTCTTGAGATGCATTCCTCTGCCATGCCCTTCTTCCATGGTGTTCTGGTTCACCTTAGGCCCAGAGCAATAGAGTAGGCTCACTATGGACAAACCTCTGAAACTATGAGCCCAAACAAACTTTCCTCTTCTCTGTTGTTTTTGTCAGGTCTTTTGGTCACAGTGACAGTAAAGCTGACTAAAACAGCTGGAATATTGATTAGTTTTCTCTCTCTCTTCTCTCCACTTTTTCTATGAGTCTAGCTTACTCTTTTTTATTCTTTTGGTACTAGGGATTGAACTCCAGGGCACTTGACCACTGAGCTACATCCCTAGCCCTATTTTGTATATTATTCAGAGACAGGGTCACACTGAGATGCTTAGGACCTCACTAAATTGCTGAGGCTGGCTTTGAACTCGTGATCCTTCTGTCTCAGCCTCCTGAGTCACTGGAATTACAGGCATGCACCACCACACCCAGCTGGCTTATTCTTTCATTTTCTTTTTTATCATTTCTAAACAGGTCAAAGAAATATGATTAATAAACCAACAACAATGGGCTAGGGTTGTGGCTCAATGGTAGAGCACTTGCCTAGCACATGTGAGGCACTGGGTTCGATCCTCAGTACCACATATAAATAAGTAACTAAAATAAAGGTATTGGGTCCATGTGCAAATAAAAATATTTTTTAAAATCCACCAACAAGTATTCTTGGTTAAGTGAAACCTTCCTATCAATTTTATATGGAGAAATAATTGGTGCCCCTCCATTATTTTATGAATCTTGGAAGGCTATGAAAATACCACTAACTATGATTGATCCATTGCTATACTCCTATATGAAGCTGCTACCAGTCTACCTGTCAATGAGTCACATGGTTTACTATTATTGTTCTGAGTTCTAGGGTGAAATGGAACGGGGTCAGCCAGGAAAATTGGACTTAACTAGTCCAGACCTGAAGAACACTGATTTACTAGATGGCTACCTTTATAATCATGTCTTACTGAGATTTAAAAAAAAATTACAAATAATTGGAAGTAGTTCTGCAATATAAACTCCTATCTATGGATAACTTTCACCTCTGGGGATAGCAAATTTATATCATATGACTGGAGGAAAGTAGTGATATCAACAACTAGAAGAAAGTAGGGCATGTATTTAATCCTTTAGTTATCTAGGTCCTCAGTTTCCCTTTTAATTGATGTATGTACATATGTGGACATATTTGAAAACATATCCTGGGAAAGCCACTTTATACTCAGAGCAACAATGGTCAGTCTGAACAGAAATATTTTGTTGCAATACATATAATGCGATTTGAGCTATCACCCACCCATGTACCAGTTCACCTGATGGGGCAATCAGTGCTGGGGAAAAGAAGATAAAGAAGGCTGATAGTAGAGGGGATTTTCTTCAGAAATGAACCAGAATGAGATGATATTACTTAGCAGTTGTTTATAGCTGAAAGCAGAGTTCTGAGATCTTAGAGTTGCTACTCCATTTCATAGTGGATGCTTGTGAAGAGATTGAGGATATGAAAACATTATCTAACCAAATTGAAAACACTGATTATACTCATGAGTTCTGACAGTGGGAGCAAGAGTCAGCAAGTCTTAGAAGATTGTTTTTATGACTCATCATAAAATTTCCTAGTCAGTATTAAGAGGAATTCTATTTTATTGCCGATTCAAGGAAATAACCCACATGAATCTCTGCACATTGTAGAAGATACATCAAGAATATTTATATAGTTGAAGCTATAGATAGGCAGGAAAAAAATCAGTTTAACTGGAATATTCAGGTTGAATGGGAAGGAAATAAAGATGAGGAAGTAAATCAAATTTAACTTCAATTGCTATTTTAGTTGGTCATAATAGCCAAGATTGTAGCAGAAAAGACCTGGAGGATGTCTCAATGAAATTCACAAATTCTTTCCATTCTGTTTTGCCTTCCATGATTATGTACTTCACCAAATGAAAGGAAGCAACATTTCAATAGCTATAGTAAATATGAAATGGGACATACGGACACTGAAGTGTTCACAACCAGTCAACTTATCAATAGCTTTGCAAGCTTCTTCTGTCTTCAGCATTTCTTCTTGTCTTTTTTTACTTTCTGGATCATTATTCAAAATCTTGTTTCTCAGCCAAGTCAAATGATACACCCGAAGTCTGTTCTTACGGCCTGATGGATAAGATACAGTAGTTCAATTAAATCTATACTTTTTTTATATCTTAGAAGAATAAAAATTAAAGGTATTTTGCCTTTTAAAACAAATGTTTTCATGAAGGTAAAAAGAACTTTTAACACACCACACAGTATCAGTGTCCCCTTCAGGATTTGGAAATGTGATAGCAAAGTCTTAGTGTATCAATTCCAACAGGTAGTTGAAGTGTCTACTAACTACCTCTAAGCCAGTCTAAAGTGACATCTAAAACATTTCTCTGAGACAGGTTATGGCTGCCACTAAGCAGGCAAAAAATCATTCATTCATTAGAAACTTGGAGTTTTACAAAGTCATGATCCCTCTAGGGTTCAGAGAGCTAGAAGTTGTCCCTGATAACGTGTGTATATGAGAGGGATGTCTGAATATTGACTGTTTAGGCATTTAGTTCCATTAAGATAAATTTCTTTGAATTCTATCATTCTAGCATGCTTATAACAGAGTTGAATAGTTTTATTGTTTTTAACCCAGTTTATATGTTTTATTATTTTTATTTCTATTGATTTAATATATTTTTAATTTTTTTGATTTATACAAAATATTTGTACATATTTATGAAGTACAATGTGATATTTTGATTTATGTATACATCATGTAGTGATCAACTTGTAGTAATTAGCATAGCTATCAACTTAAACATCATTTTTAATGGTGAGTACATTTAATTCTTCAAACTGTTTTGACATATAAAATGCATTATTGATAATTATATTCATTCTGCTCTACCACAGTACAACAGAATTTATTTCTCCTATTTAACTTTACCCATCATCTAATTATAACCATCAGACCCCTTGACCAATTTTTTCCCTTTCCCCCTATTTAACCCAGTCTCTGTTAACCACTATTATACATTTCACTTTTATGAGATCAACTTTTTAGGTTCTACTTAAGTGAGATAATACCTTTAATATTAGTTTCCTAATTATAAATCCCAGCAAATTTTTACAATTAATTAAAAAACATGGGCCATTAAAATTACACATTTCTTTCCCTAAAAATGATTTTATTTCTAGTGATTTTTAAGGTTTATATGATATTCATTTTATTTATTTATTTGATTATTTATTTATCTAGTTTTAGTTGTGGGTGGAAACAACACCTTTGTTTTTTAATTTATTTTTATGTGGTGCTGAGGATCAAACCAGTACCTCACATTTGCTGGGCAAGCGCTCTAGTATTGAGCTACGTTCCCTGTCCTGGTTTATAATATTTCTAATCCCAACAATAGAATTCTTATATGATTAATATGTTTTAAATAAAGTTTTTATAGCAGTATTAGGGTTCTATTCTTAAATGGTAAATCAAACTATTGAGTATCTCTCAATACTTATAATCTTGGTACTATTGTAATTAAAAATAATACACATTAAAGAGAAGCTCAACCATTAAGGAGGGTACATTTGGGTTAGAGAATACTAGAACACTAAAAAAGAAAGAAATCTGGGGCTGGAGATGTGGCTCAAGCAGTAGCGCACTCGCCTGGCACGCGCAGGATGCTGGGTTCGATCCTCAGCACCACATAAAAAATAAAGATGTTGTGTCCACCGAAAACTAAAAAATAAATAAATATTTAAAAATTCTCTCTCTCTCTTTAAAAAAAATAAAGAAATCTGTTCTCTAGATGTTTACTCTCTTAGGTACCCAGATGTAAAAAATCTAAATATTGCTTCTGTAATCAAATAATTATAAATGAATGTTGACAAAAGTGACTTAAAAAAACATGAGTTCTGAGCATACCTATAAAGGGTTTTCTACCCTAATTCAAATTAAATCAAATTGACCTTATTTAGAAATACACATTATCAGTATGTGCATGGCAATTTGCATACTAATATACATTTTACACACATATTTATATTATAAAATACATAATTCAGATAAATAACTATGATTAGCATGAGCTTATTCTGTATGAAACCTATTTCTTCAACTTTTCCTTTTTTTGTCTGTCATCTTATGCCTATAGTCAAAATTAATGCTATTGCTGTTTTGATACCAGGTCCTTTTTAGTAATCTTTTTTATTTTATTTTATTTTATTTTTTGTACTGGAAATTGAACTCAGGGGCACTTGGCTACTGAGCCACTGAGGCACATTCCTAGTTTTTATTTTATTTTGTTTTATTTTATTTTTTGATACTGGAAATTGAACTCAGGGGCACTTGGCCACTGAGCCACTGAGCCACATCCCTAGTGCTATTTTGTATTTTATTTAGAGACAGGGTTTCACTGAGTTGCTTAGCGCCTCGCTTTTGCTGAGACTGGATTTGAACTCTCAATCCCCCTGTCTCAGCCTCCAGAGCCACTGGGATTATAGGCGTGCACCACCATGCCCAGCCTGTTTAGAAATATTAATCACTATAACACCCATTTACTTGCTATCTCATAGTCAAAGATTCAAGGTTTACCAAAACTAAGAAATCCAACTATTGTGTAGGGAAACTGTAGAGTTCTTTAAAAGGAAATCCATTGTTGTAACCAACCCTATCTTAGGCCTTTTGATAAGTTTGTGCTAGGGACAAACTTATTTAATACTCTATTATCTGTTCACTTTGTTCCTTGTTGCTTCTAACACATCAGAGAAAAGATATATGTTGGATTTTCATGTGATCAGGTGTGCATGAGTAGATGTGAATGACAGCTGTGAAGTTGTACAAGGCTACTTTGTAAAGAACCTGCAAGGAAGCAAATAGTGTGAGTTTTCATATCAATAACCTAAATTAGGTGTGCTGCAATCAAAGGAAGTTAGTTTCAGTTGTAAATAGATAAGACAATACAAGTAGGAAAATCTGGTATCCCAATTAAAGGTTATATTTAAAGTGTTCTCTTATGGACACTTTCACCTGAGAAAGTCTTTAACCCAGTTTGCAGTCTAATTAATCTGCTTAATTATTCAGCTAATTTTAGTTCTTAAACAAACCAGAGATGGTAATCAGCAAATTGAGTGGCTCTACAACTTGAATCTGGCGAAATGGTCGTCGCTTTATAAGTTTAGTAATGTCTGCCTTTCCACTTCTGTCCATCAGATACAGATTAGATCGGGTTCCAAGAAGCAAATTGACTCCTGTTCAAGGATAAAAAAAAGAAATATACTATATTAAAACTCATTTTATATTTGCATTTATATTACATTTTTGCTACTCCATTGTGATGATCTATATAAAAGTGACTTTTAACATTTTTAGGCTAATGCTAATCAAATACTGTGTAACTACTTACTCTTTACTAACATACACATAACAAATGCATTGAAATACATAAAAAGATAGAAGATAATGATCTCAAGCAATATTCTATGGGATCATGTCTGGTATGCCACCTTGAAAATAGAATTGTACCTACATCTTAGCACCCTGTAGTAGCATCCCACATTTTATTAAAATAAATTCTTTTTGAAAATTACTATTAAACATTCTTAGTGTAGCATACATAAAGAGCTCAACTCAGTTCATTTCTCATCCATTACTGTAACTACAGGTTCTTATGTTTTTTAATATTTATTTTTTAGTTATAGGTGGACACAATATCTTTATTTTATTTTTATGTGGGGCTGAGGATCAAACCCAGTGCCTCACACATGCTAGGTGAGTGCTCTACCACTGAGTCACAACCCCAGCCTGGTTTGAATGTTTTTAAAATCATTATATGTAGATAATTTTTAAATTGAATAATTCTATATTTATGCAGATGTTAAAACTTTTACATTACTAAATGCCTGTAAAATTAGTTCTTATCTTCATATACCTAAATTCGTATATTCTGTCTTTTATTTCTTGACTGGGTCTATTTGTTCATATATAAGCACTGTTTAAAGAACAAGGAGAGGACTGAAATAGAAGAACTGAAGTTAAAATACACTTAAAAGTACTGTGGCAGTTTTTCTCCATATACCAAGACTTAGGAGAAAATTGACCAAGTAATTAACAGGAGAAAACTTCAGTGTCTTCCATTTAGATAATGTTTGTGCTCTAAGGGTATAAGAAGAAAAGACAAGTGTTTCTGCTTTCATTTTCCTACTCTGTCCTTCACCAAATCTCAAGCCAATGGCAAATTTTGAAACTGCATCTTCCTCCCAGAAGAGACTCAAGGAAGGAGGAGGAAGTATTGTAAAATTTCACTATAATTTGTATTATTCAAAATGTAAATCATTTCTTATAAAATGAATTAGTAGACATTAATCACATTTTTGAGTAGTTTCCAGACTGAAATGTTAAATGCCTTCTTATATTTGATACACTCAATTAGCAATACTTTGAGGATAACATTTTTCTAAGTCAATTCATATAATATGCTTGCCACCATGTTCTAGTTTTAATTCAAAGCCCTATCTCCTATTCAATCATACATTAAGTAAAATCTATCAAACAGAAGTCAGAAGTTGGCATTTACTATGGATTTCTATCCTCCTTGCATTCATCAATTCTGCTTTATTTGTTATTCAACTGGCTTGAGGTAAAATACAGTCTCAATACCACCCATATGACTATAACTCTTCGGAAACAAAGGATTGGGAAAGTTTAAGGCCTACAAATCTTCAAGAGTGTTTAAAATGAGATCCTGCAAAATCTTTTTTGTAAGACCTATTTAGCTATCTGTTATGGTATGTATCTGGAATGTCCCTCAAAAGCTCATGTGTGGAAAGCTTGGTCTCTAGGGCAACAATATACAGAGTTGGGGCTTTTCAGAAGGGACTGAATGTTGAGGGCTCTCATCTCATCAGTGGGTTAATTCATCTGATGGTTTAATAATTTGAATACACTACTGGGAGGTGGTAGAAACTGTAAGCAGGTGAGGCATGGTTGGAGGAAGTAGGTTGCTGAGGACTATATCTTGTCCATTGCCCCTTTTAAGAATTTAGGGACAGATATTAAAAGAAATTACTAATCTATACATCATATGTGCTTGAGTGTTTCCACAAATGAGACTTCTGCCATAAATTGAGAAATTTTGTCCACCACATCCTTCTGTCGTGATCTTTCTGCCTTGGATCCAGCCAGTCACGAATTGAAACCTCTGAAAACATGAGCCAAAATAAATCTTTACCCCCTCTAATCTGTCAGTATTTTGGTTGCAGCTAGAAAAAGCTAATTAACAGCATTATATGCTGAAAACTACTCTGTATTAGGAATACTAATCTTAAAATTTCAAATAATTATAATCTAGTCAAATTTTATATTTTATCTGAATTAATTAAGGTTAAAAAGAAAATAGAATAAAAAGCAGGAGGAATCAATTAAATCATCAAAATCACTTCTAAGAAAATACATTTTATTTGATTGATAATGGGTTGGTAATAATAAACAAATGTTTTACATCTATGATTTTCATGGGTTTGCTATGTAGATTTAAAAAGATTCTTTTAAAAACAACCAAATTTCAGAAATCAAACTTACCCCATAAAGAACCACAGAAGATCTCAGAAGTGAATTCCTTTTCATACATGTGAATTAGTGGTTTTTTACATGCAGGAGAGACATAGAGTGGGTTAACATTGACTTCAGAGGGTTGCTTAGGTGATTTTTCAGGTACTTCCACGAATCCAGCATATACTGTTAAGAATTAAGGGACAGGTATTAAAAGAAATTACTAATCTATACATCATATGTGCTTGAGTGTTTCCACAAATAAGACCCAGCCTAGAAAATATATTTTCATTTTTTTGTATTTTATTTTTACTGGAGGAGTCACTTTAGTAATTCATAAGCCATTGGACAACACAAATAATGATGGTTAAAATATATTCTTGAATATAGATTTAAGTTATTGTGATTTTTAATGCAAAATAAATCCAATGAAGGACTCAATTTCTCAACTGAATCTGACATTCAGGCATCATAAAGATTCAGTGAGGAACACATTTTTATTTTATTTTAAAAATGTTTTTCATAGTGCCTTGTTTAATAATATAGGGGTTTATTTAGACATGGAATATAATTTATTCTGTTTCAGTCCTCAGTACTTCCTCTTTACCTTCCCTCCTCCCTCCTACTGTTTACCTTCTTCTATTCTACTGGTCTTTCTTCTATTTATTTAAATCAGTGCTTTACAGACATGCATAAACATGGCATTCACTGTGGTATAATCATGTATGTACATAGCATAATGGGGTCAATTCCATTCTGCAGTTCCTCCCTTTTCCCATCCCTCTTCCCTCCCTATATATCCCCTTCCTGTACTCCACTGATCTTCCCTCTGATTTCATGAGATCCCTTCTTTTTTCCCCTCTTATTTTGGTGTAGTTTCCATATATGAGTGTAAACATTTGATCCCTGATTGTTGAACCTGGTTTATTTCACTTAACATAAAGTTCTCCAGTTTCATCCATGTACCAACAAATGTCATAATGTAGATTTTTAAAAATCGTATATCAATATGAATTTGGGTCAAATGAATATGAGAATTACTTAATTCCATGCAGATTTTGAACAAGTAGTTAAAAACTAATGTGTGAACAGGTATCAGAATTGATAGATCATAGTAGACACACTCACAGATGGCACTGGCAAAATCAGCAGCAGCAGCTCCCCCAGAATCTTTGGAAGGAGATGAGTGGCTGTCAGGAAAATCCAATTGTATTGATGAGTCAGATATGTCCCTATTGTCATTCTCATCATCAAATGCTGAGGGAACACTAACTGAGGCAATGGAATTTGAGGCCTCACTTTCACCATCTGGCTCCTAAAATGAGACCAAAATAGTTTTAATTCATTAAGAGGGTTTAAACTGAAAAATATTCTAGGGGTTACTAGAAAAAATGAATGTAAAATTTTTAGTATCTTCGTTCTTGTAAAATGCATACTTACTAAAAATTTCAACAATATCATCAAAAAAGAGAGAAGTAACCTATTATTTGAGATAAGTGATTTTTAGAGAAATTCAAAGAGCTTTAATTTCCACCCCCTTTGCAACTTGGGACCTCATAATTGTGAAAATATGCCAGGTACTGTGCTAGGAATCTTATTTACTTATCTTCATGAATCCTTACAACTATCCAACAAGTAAATATAAGTATATTCCATTTATTTATAAGAAAACTAATGTTTATAAGGTTAAATAATATTTTATATGTTTTAAACCTAGAAAGTAGGGGAACTAGACCTTGAAGCAAAAGTTTGTTTGATTTTCAAGTGTACGTTCAGCTATGTTACGCCAAATAGTTGCTTGAAAAAATATAAAGCACGATATGGGGGTATTTTTTCCATTGCTTTAAGGTACCTTGAGAGAATGGGTAGTGTGAAAAACCTACACAGAGAATTTTCAAATGATAAAGTGAATGATGGAAAATCAACTTACACAAACTCAAAGGAATAAACATATTTTGATGAAAATCTAGCCTGCTTTCAGTAAAATTACTCAAAGATAAAAACCACAAATTGTGACAATTTAGGTGGCATTCTATATGCTATGGGAAAGCATATCAACTGTTTTTAGTAAACCTGTTTATTGATGACCTCCTCTTTGTGCATAGTGATTCTTGGCACAGAGAGTTGTGCTACCCTGTCAGCGACTGGTTTTTATGAACTTTCTAGCCACAAAAACATGTTCTAGCAGTATATCCCTTTTAAATTAAAATGAAAGGAAGACCCATTTATTCTGTAAATTTCAAAAATATTACTAAAGATAACTAGAGACACCCAGGTGTGTTATAAAACTAATGTTAAGACATCCTGTTTTAATCTTTCTTTTCATCCCTTCCACAAATTCTTTTTTTTTAATTTATTTTTTATTATTGGTTGTTCAAAACATTACAAAGCTCTTGACATATCATATTTCATACATTTGATTCAAGTGGGTTATGAACTCCTATTTTTACCCCATATACAGATTGCAGAATCATATTGGTTACACATCCACGTTTTTACATATTGCCATACTAGTAACTGTTCTATTCTGCTACCTTTCCTATCCTCTACTATCCCCCCTCCCCTCCCCTCCCCTCCCATCTTCTCTCTCTACCCCATCTACTGTAATTCATTTCTCTCCCTTGTTTTTTTCCCTTTCCCCTCACATCCTCTTATATGTAATTTTGTATAACAATGAGGGTCTCCTTCCATTTCCATGCAATTTCCCTTCTCTCTCCCTTTCCCTCCCACAGCTCGTCCCTGTCTAATGTTAATCTTCTTCTCATGCTCTTCCTCCCTGCTCTGTTCTTAGTTGCTCTCCTTATATCAAAGAAGACATTTGGCGTTTGTTTTGTAGGGATTGGCTAGCTTCACTTAGCATAATCTGCTCTAATGCCATCCATTTCCCTGCAAATCTCATGATTTTGTCATTTTTTAGTGCTGAGCAATACTCCATTGTGTATAAATGCCACAATTTTTTATCCATTCATCTATTGAAGGGCATCTAGGTTGGTTCCACAGTCTTGCTATTGTGAATTGTGCTGCTATGAACATCGATGTAGCAGTATCCCTATAGTACGCTCTTTTAAGGTCTTCAGGGAATAGTCCGAGAAGGGCAATAGCTGGGTCAAATGGTGGTTCCATTCCCAGCTTTCCCAGGAATCTCCATACTGCTTTCCAAATTGGCCTCACCAATTTGCAGTCCCACCAGCAACACGGAAAGACATATGGACAGATGGACATGGGTAATTTTCCACTGATAACTACTATCCCATCAGAAAGTACTCACGGTATTTTCTTCCTGTGTTTCCCCCTTTTTTAATTTCCTTTATTGATTTCTTCCATAATTATTACATGTGTATCATGACCAGGCCCTAGGTTGACTTTGAGTTTGGATGAATTATTAGAAAAGTAACCAAAGACGGAGTATACACAGTTTCTTGCTTCTAATAGTTCATAATCTTGTGTGATAGACATCACTAAACAAATAACTAAGTTACAAAATTATAAGTACCAAAATGGAACTATATGTAAAATGCTTGCAAGCACAGAGGAGGTATTATCTAATACTGCTTTGGGGAATCAGAAATGACATTTGAGTTGAATCATAAAAGATGGCTAACTCAACAAATTAAGAATAGGTGAGAGGGCAGCCTTCTAGACAGAGGGGAAAGTTTGCACAGGGAACAATAATTCATGAAAAACAGCACAGCATCTTCAAAGCTATTTTGAGTGATAGGATAATATGCTAGTAAAGTAGATTGGCACAATATTTTCTTGTTCTGGAGTTCCACTTTAATTTTCAGATATCTAGATGCTGTGAATTTACCAAGAATTAATTCAAATACCATGTAATCTAGGAAATCTCTGGGAAAATTCCTATTGATATAGCATTAGTGAAGCTACACAAGTATTTTAAATCTATTTATAAAATCAATAAACATTGTTGAACTATAAAAATGACTAAACAGAGGACTTTACTTCAATTAAAATTTTATGTGTTACTAATTCCTTAAAAAATTAAACATGCACTTACATATGACAAAGTAATTTCACTCACAAGTATGGACATCAAAAGAATGAAAAGTAGATACTCAAAGAGATACTTGTATACCAACATTCAAAGAAGCTTATTCAACGTAGCCAGAAAGTGGAAACCAAACACAATGTGGTAAATACATATGATGGAATATTTTTTATCTGTGTAAAGTAATGAAATTCTGATATATACTATAAAATAACCCTGAAAATATTATGCTAAGTAAAATAAGCCAAAGACGAATGAACAAATATTGTGTTTCAATTTATATAAGATACCTAGAGAGAATGTAGAATACAGGTTACCACAGACTGAGGGGATGGACTGGGATTTAACTGCTAAGAAAAATAAAAATGTAATAAAATTGGATACTGGTGAAGTTTGAACAATATTGTGAATGTTCTTACTTTCACCAAATTGTAAATTTAAAATAGTTAAAAATGTAAATTCTGTGGTATGTATTTTACAATAAATATAATTTTCCAGAAAAAAAAATTGTATGTGTTAACAGACACTACTTTGAATATGTGGTTTGAGTAAACAAAGCAAACAAATAAAAGACATTTGTCCCCAGAAGTAAATAGAAGCCTCCAAATTAGTAGCAAAGACACCCACACACCTGTAATTTAAAAATATTTAAGGCTCTGGGTTGAAGGTTAAAATCTATTTGGAATATCTGGAAATGTCACATATCACATTCAAAAAATATCCTCAAAATGAAAGGAGTTTCTCTTTTTAAAATGGTGCATTACCTCCTGTTGATGTTCAAAGTCCTGGAATACAGGTCTCTCCAATCCTAGATCCTCTATCTCTGAATAATTTTCTCCTCCACTGTGTCCAGGTGCTCCATAATCATTATTGGCCCAACTGACTCCCTTACTTCCATTACTCCTGCTACCTCTTCCATGTCCTTCCTGGTCTCCAATGGCTGCATTGTCCCCATTGGCTGCACTTCTTCCATGGCTTCTATTAGCTCTATAGAAGCCATAGCCTCTGGTGGCTCCTTGATTTCCATCACTTGCATCACTACCTTCTTGCATGAACCTTCCATCTCTGCCATAGCTTGCCCTGATAACAAGGGAAAATGAGTGAAATAAGGCCACCAAATAAAAACACATTTTGAGAGTGAACAAATGAAATAAAATTAAAATTTATCTTATACATTATATCTACCATGTCCAGGCATGTTTTAGGTCTATGTGATACTATTGGTGTGATATAGACAAGAAAAATGCCTGTGTCCTGTTAATCTTAAATATTGAACTAACACCACAGCACTGTCAATGACTTAGCTATACGTGAACAAAAGAGGGAAAAAATTTTTATTCTTTGTTAGGTATATGTATTAGGTTAGAAGAATAAACATGTATTTGTTTCTTAAATAATAAACTGTTTCATGCATTAGAAACTTCAGAGAGATGTGAATGATCAATCCCATATCTTTGGCTTAATACAATATATTTGTAAAAAATTTTCTTGCAATATATCAAGTTTAAATAATATACTAATTTAAAATATTATCTGGTTTTCTAACACATGTAAAGTCTGCTTAGTTAAAAAAAAAATCTCATTGGTCAACTGTTCCCATCAGGAAGTTCCAGAAATATAAACCTAGTATTTTACAGAACTAAGATAGTCATTTAATTATTTTGTAAAAACGCCATCCTTCAGAAAATATTGCAATGCTCTTTTTTTTTTTTGCAGAAGAGACAACATTAAATGTATGTGCATGGAGAGATTCTAAAAGTAACGTTATGTTACAATGGAAATTTTGATAGAATTTTAGTTGGAAAAAATCAAATGATCTCTTGGTAATTTCCCCATTAATTAACCATAAGAATCATCATGTTAGTTTTGTTATATAGATGACACTATCTCAGCTGTTTGAGTAATGAATAGCTGTGTTTGAAAAAATATTAGAAGCATTCATTTTCCCCACTTTTCATGCCCATTGTAGTTTTACAGGGTAGAAAGATTTTTTTTCAATATTTTTATTGGTACATTTTATCACACACAATAGTGGGATTCATAGCTTCAGTGGCATTAATTTTAATGGAAACAAATAACTCCAGTTATAAATAAATGAACTAATAAATACTTGTTTAAAAAATAATATGCAAATAATGAAAAATTAAGCATTCTGCATTAAACCAATTTAAAATATATTGCTGAAGATCAAACCATGTACTAATATGTAAATGAAATTAACTAATACTTTTGATAATACATCTTAAAAATAAACCAGAGATGCAAATATATCTGAAGTTATAAAACATGGATAGTGTAAGTAATCTAGAAAAACCAACCTTGACCAATTAGGAGCATCATCATAATTATCATTTATGTCATCACCAGATACATCCCTGTTGTCACCAACATCATGGGCTTCACAGACACCAGTTGCCTGATCAACCTGGTTATCCAAGTCATCATTGCCAAAGGCATGGTCATAGGTATCTTCATAAGCATCATTAGAATCCTCATCATTGCCATCAGTATCAGCACCAGCATCATAGAGTTCAACATAATCACCATCCTCTTCAGGTGGCTGAATGACAGGTGCAGGAGTTAACCAATCATTCCGGAAGATTTCAGAGAGTGCATTATAGCCCACCCATTCATTTGTCAAGTACACAGGGGGTGATATTTTTCCTACTTTAAATCCATCTGGAACCTGTGTGCACAAGAAAGGTTAATGTAGTCTCTAGTAGTCTTTCATTTTCTTTTAGATTGTGAAGTTTCCATGCTAACAACAGTTTAAAAAAATATTCTCAATTGGAACAAAGATGTTTGCTCACTAGATATAGCCAAGATTTTAGTGAAGATTCCAAAACCCAAACATCAGGCTGTGATTATTAGTGCAGTTTCCAGATCACACAGAGCAAGATTTACTCACTTTGTTTTTTGTATTACTCCTATTTGTCTGCTGAGGAGTAGATATTTACATTTGATGCTGGAGAGCAGAACAGGTGAATTGGAGCTTTATGAACACATTTTCCTTTTGTTTTATTCCCTGATGTTGGGATTAATGTGTCTTGAAATCAGTAGGTTAATTTCCCAGCTTTCATTTTACATTCCTTAGGTTATCTTAAATTATTTCAAACACTTTTTAAAGAGTAAATTAATATAAATTCACCTCTTGTGTTTAGTAGGTGACATATAGCAACTGTTTGGTATAGATATGTGTATGCTAGAGTAGGAGTAACTATAAAAATGAAATGATCTGTAAGCTTACTGCAAAATAAGTTTAAAGATTTTTAATTTATGCAATCAAAGAATACTTTATACTTTACTAAGTATTTTATTTTTTTTATATTGTCCCAATACCCAAAGAGTGCTGTTAAAACTTAGACATCTAATTCTTACCCCTTACTTTGAGATCTATGCTTATCTGCTTACTACCCTTCTCTGTCCAATATGTTCTGACAAAAGAAAAGTGAAGATAAAATAGTGTCTGATCAATTAAGGATTTTTCATTTAATTTTTAACTTCTAAATTTTGTATTCTGAATGTTCCCATAGTAAAGAAAATCATTTTCAAAACAATACAAAATTAAACTCTTTAACCTTTCCCTCCTTAAGTGAGTATGATAAAATGTACATCAAAACAAATTAGAAATTAAGAACAGATATAAATGTGGTAAGATGGACACCTACATGGACATCAATTAGCAACTTCTGATCAATAGTAGAATAAGGTGGTGATGACTGAGACCTCCTCCCAATCACAGGACTCTCCTCCTCAGAAGATGATTCTATGGAATTCCAAAAACATGTTAGTAATAGTGATGATTACACTGATTGCCTTCATTTGTTAGTATATAAGTTCAATTCCATGTTTTTCTTGTAGCCTCTGTAATTCCATTCAGGAAATATCACCTGATAAATACTCATGGGCCCAGAATCCTAAGATTTATTTTCTTATGTAGGTATGTATGTATGTACTAGGGATTGAACCCAGGGGTGCTTAACTACTGAGTCACGTCCCCATCCCTTTTTCTTTTTTAAAAATTTGTTCTAATTAGAACATGACAATAGAATACATTTTGACACATTGTACACAAACGGAGCACAACTTCTCATTCTTGTACCATCCCTTTTTTAAAGTATTTTATTTAGAGACTGTATCTCACTAAATTGCATAGGGCCTTGCTAAGTTGCTGAGGCTGGCTTTGACTTTGTGATCCTTCTGCCTCAGAGTCCCAAGCTCTACCATCAGAAGCAGTAGTAGGCTCAAATATTATTCCATCTGTAGACTCACATGACATTTTTGTTTTCAATATTTGATGTACACTTTCTTAAATATTTCTCCCTAACCATGTAAGGTTTCTGTCTCTCTTCTATGTAAGAATGGTAACTAGATTGATACATTTTTTAAAAAATGAATGTTGGGGTTACCACTGGCCTCACATACTCATCTAGAAGAAAAAGAGACCAACAGTGTATTAGATAATGATAGACTGGCCAAAACTCTCAGGAGTTGATTGTGCAATCTTAAGCCCCTCCAATGTTCACCGAGAGATATATCTTCAACTATTTCAATAGAGTTGAAGAGTCAACTACTGAAAAGAGACAAAACTTCACCCTTTCTCCAAAGCTGGGAACTTTCTATATGAGTAGATCTGTGTAGTAGATCTTTCTGCAATGATAGAAATGTTCTATAACTTCACTATTCAATACGTAGCCACTGGTCACATATGAATATTGAATACTTGAAATGTGATCAGTATGCCTGAGAAGTGAACTTTTAAAGTTTATTTTTCTTTTCAGTTTTCATTTTAATTGCCACAAGTGGCTAGTTGCTTTCACACTGGACAGCTAAACTCCATAGGATAAATATTTCCATTTAAAACACAAATTTATACAGGTTAAAAGTCTAGCTTTTGACATTAATTTTAAAATCTAGTGAAAATATTTAAAAGGCTCAAAAATACATATATCTGGATGAGCATATTCAGAAAAAAGTTTCCCTAAGGGAACATTCAGGTCACTATTTATTGTTTTTGTGTACTAGAAATTAAACACAAACACTACTGCCCCTCTTTTATTTATAGCCTTAGTATATACAGCCAAAGTGTAGCCACTACAACTCCGAAAAGCACACATTTATAAACACTGCTGTCTTTTGAGAACATTATAACAAACTCATCTTACAATGTATATCCTTATTTTCTGGCATTGTAATTTTCCCATTTATTATTTTTCTACAGAAGACTATTGTTTTGAGTCTTTTGGTCTGGCAGTAGACTAAATAATAAGTTTGGGTCAGTGTCTTATGATTTTGAGGCACACTTGTATAGTAAGGTCATTTCCTCTGTGATGAAACCTATAATCTCATGGGAATATCAAATGGTCTATGTAGTAAATAGAATAATATAACAGAATTTTTGAATTGAAAAGACATTTAACTATTATCTGCATAGATGCTATTCTCTCCTCCATCCTACCAATATTCATGACTATTGTGGTGCTTAATCCAACATTTATTTCAAAGAGGCAACATAAATAGACCCTAAATTTTTAGTTGTTTATCTAGTAGTAGTAAAGTTAGCCCTAGTTGAGCCAGAAAGATAAGATTCTTAGAAAAAAAAATCCTAAAATCACTCCTCATTAGGCTTATATTACGTATAAGAACATAGTATTTCTGCACAAGAATAATTTAAAATAATTTTGTCACTATATGCCTCTTAAGGTGAAAAATGGGGTTTTTAATTTCAGATCTTTGAACATTTGGTTTTAGATGTTCTTTTTATATTAACATTTTAATAAAATCTGTATGCACATTTTATACGATCTGAAGAGAAACCAGAGTATGTATGCACATTTTAAAAGATGACTTAGGGACTTGTTCAGGCATTTCCCACTTGCTTAACTTACCTGGCTTTTTTTTTTTAAACTTTGTAATGCCAGATTTTATGACTCAAGGCATAACTTTTGGTTTTGTTTATCACATTCCTCAAAACTATAATTCATTTAAACTCTCGAAAGCACATGTTAAAATACTTGTTTGAAATTCATATCACAAATTTTGACTTTATTTTATGAATTGATTAATTTTTCATGTATTCTGAATGAAACTATCAATTTGTAACATTTAAAAATATTTGTGAGGTATTATGTATATCATATTTTGGGGAGGTGAAATAACAAGCTGACAAAACACACTCTCACAACTATTCCTGCCAGTATTGTAAAAGTTGCCTATAAATGTTAGCTTGGAGATGCATGTCTCAAGTTCCATTTCCATCATTTTGACACCGGATATAGTAACTAAATAAAGTTAAATTATCTACCTCCGCAGAAATATTCCTAACTACTACTCAACTGCTAAAATACATTTCAGAAAAATACTTCTACTTCTCAAAAGACACCAATGACCACTGAATGATCAAATCCAAAGGCCTATTCCTACTTTGCCTCCCTTATATTTTTTATTCACTCTGTAATGAAATTCTTCTTTCTTGACTTCTGAAATATAAATTGTTAACCATTAACATTATGTTTTGACTGTTGAAACTTTGTGTTTTGAATCACCTGATGCTTCTGGGCAAATTTGAAGATTTTGTGAACTCCTTTGTCTGATGTCAATGGTCTGCTGAGCTTCTTCCAAAAGAGATGGTGGAGGAACACTAAAGAAAAGATGGAAAAGCATGTGCAATGTGCCAACATTCATAAGGGGAATGTACAACCTTTCATAAGGACCAACAAAATAGTCATATATATATATATATATATATATATATATATATATATATATATATA